CCCCTCCTTGTTTGACATTTTTTTCCTTCGTCTGGCAGTCGCGTCACGAGAGCGAGGCGCAGAGGCGTCTCTTCGCGACGCGTCGCGGCGCCAGAGAACACAAACGACAACTTGTTTCCGGAGCGCCTTGACAGTGTCGAAAGGGATTCGTCGGGACGCGGCGACTTGTAGTGGTGCTGCCTTCCGCGCGCACCGGCCGAAATGTATACAACAACACTATCATCATCAATTACAGTCAGGCAGGCAGGCAGGCAGGCAGGCGCAATACCGGCAGCCGGCACCTGGAAGGCACCTGGAGACTCCAGGAGGATGGCAGGCTCCAGGTCGGACCGCGGGCTCCTCTGGACGCTGACAAGTTCTACTTCAACTTTGGGAGTATTGCAAGAACATGCTCCAATGGTATTATGACGGCAAAGAAAATACTTCAAGGGATGAAAACTTACAACAGAAGAATGAGAAATAACAAAAAAAGAATGAATGTAAAATCAATATGTACGTCGAGTGCTTTCTCGGCACCCCATCAGCATTGGTGAAAGGCTTTCAGGGGGTCTCTAGAGGTCGGCTCAGAGACGTTGCTCTCTCTCTCTCTCTCTCTAGCGGGGTCAGGGGGCGAGTCCCGGGCGCATCAACGCCATGCTGGAGAGTTATGGACGCGCTAATCCGGCTACGCCCTCCCGTCAATAAGATCCGAAACGCATCGTGTGTGCGGATCAGCTCTGATTGTTAATAATGAAGAAGGGGCTTGCAGGCCTAGAACAGCATTGTCTATAACCACGAAAGTGCAGCTTTGGTTTTTGGGCTACCCGCCGCGGAGTTGTGTAACTTAATCGCCTTTTTTCCCAGCCACCTCGCGGCCAGTGTCGCTTTCACGCGAGCAATACTGCTCCTTCTTTTTTCACTAATCTCGACAAAAACCTTTTATCCATCCTCTTTCTAGCATAAAGACAGACCATCACCGTTTGCTTTGCGGGGAGGGGGGGACTCAAGAGCCGTATAGTTACGAAAAAGTTTCCCCTCGTTCAGAGACAAGACGTTGACGAAACTTTCAACCCTCTCGGCAAACATGCGCAAAAGTCTCCTCTCCGTCTGGCCCAACCCCACTGCGTCTTTCTCTCTCTCTCTCTCTCTCTCTCTCTCTCTCTCTCTCTCTGGGGCACGGAGTAACGCATCCGCCTCTGATTTGACTACGTCCCGACGTTTACTGAGCACTTAAGGCCGCGGCCCGCGGCGCGGCGCGGAGGTCGCCTGACCCTAGTAAAGTCCCTGCGCTGCTTCATGGCCCATTACAGCCACCACCGTTAGAGTCCCTCGAATGCCTCAAACGAGACGACATGCGTGTGGCTTTGGGCCCGTCTCACCCTTATATTGGCCATGTATGGCACCGTACAGCATGGCGGTCAAAACACAGCAGCGTCCGTCCCACTCGCGAAATTTTAAAATGATCGGTAGTTGCCGAAAGGTTACCCTTCGAAGGTCAGCACGAAATGAAATGTCACTGAGCGTTTTTGCTTTCGAAGTAGGCGCGGGAACCCATCGAGAATTGGGCACACGCACAATTCTCGACAAAAACTAAGTTCTTGGACCAAGACCAACTACTTCAACCAAGACATTATGCACTTGAGGAATCAAGGATCAAGCACATTTTGCTTGGTCCACAAACTCAACTCTTTTGGGTGCAGTGCAAGTCACTGTCACAATCTGATAGGTTGGCAGATTGTAAAGTGACACGACCGCCCATATATCCCATTTTCCAAAATGTTTGCGACTATGGCCCTTTGCCGCGGCGAGTTCCCCCCAGGACCAAACGCTATAATTCCCCATGAAAGTAGTTTGGGCCGCCGTGGAGCCATCGGGGCGTCTTGGTTCCGCGTCCAGCGCCCCGCGGAGCCATTGCGGAGCCATTGCGGATTACACGGCCTGGGCGCCACGTGCCCCGATCCGCCATGCTCGGAGGAGGACGATAGTCGCGGCAGGCACGGGGGGCAGCTAAAAGATTCAACACGTATTCGAGACATCTCGACAAATGTTGCCCGCAAAGTGTCAGCAGAGGACTTAAGATTACTTTAAAATTTCTAAGGGGGTGGTTTAAATATTATCTCCAATGCCGGCCGTCAGCCACGGTCGAGGACATTCGCTGTCAATGTACTTCTTTGAAGTGGTCAAACTGTTTAACAATACTATTTGTGCAACTGTCAGTTGCACTCTTAAGTGTTCAACTGCAGGTGTAGGACGTACTTCCTTAGACTGGCCTTTCACTGTATGAGAAGCGATCAGCAACGGAGTCACACACTTACAAGTGCACAACTACAGAGTTGAAGAGGATTCAACATGCAGTTGTACACTTACAAGTGTGGATTGCCAGGGTCGCAGAGGCCATGGCGCCTAACGGGCTAAGGTAGGCAAACCTGCAGTGCTGCTAGAGCTCATTCAAGGAACAAAGGAACACCTGGTACGAGGCAGGAGTCATGGGAATCACCACTGGTATTGTCCTCTTCACCTATCACCCATGCCAGGTCGGGCCTCGACTTCCGTTTGGCCAGGAGCCTCAGGAGCCTCGGTTCCTGAGGCCCCCACCCCCTTTTGCAGTGAATGGGTTTCTCCATCAGTTCTAGGTTCCGCTAAGTCTCCAATCATTTCTTTTGTGTCCTTCTGCGTATCCGCGCAGGGTCTGTTGCGGCCAAATCGCGCGTTCTCCGGCATGTCTATGTCTGGTCTATGAGGTAACCCGATTGTAGTTCTCTCCGCTGTTCAAAGTATCTTTAGTGTCTAGTCCATTGCGTTCTCCAGCCAGGAGGCCCATTCCTCAGTCCTCAGTCTACAGATGTCTGCGTCTTCTGCCAGGTTCAGGGGCAGGTTTCGTCAGGTGCGTGTTCTCCAGGAGGGCTACGTCCGGCTACGTCATTCATCCATCGTTTCCACGAGCGTTCTCCAAGCAGCTTCGCGTAGCGTTCCGTCACTTCCACATATTTTCCAGACGTTCTGCATCC